GTGTCTCTCCTACAGTTTCTGGCCTCTTCTCATAACACAGATCTGTGTGACTGCCTGTTTTTTTGTTTTTGTTTTTTTTTTTTTGAGGAAGATTAGCTCTGAGCTAACGTCTGCTGCTAATCCTCCTCTTTTTGCTGAGGAAGACTGGCCCTGAGCTAACATCCATGACCATCTTCCTCTCCTTTATACGTGGGACGCCTGCCACAGCATGGCTTGCCAAGCGGTGCCATGTCCGCACCCGAGATCCGAACCGGCAAACCCCGGGCCGCCGAAGCAGAACGTGCTCACTTAACTGCTGCATCACCGGGTGGCCCCAGTGACTGCCTGTTTTTGAAAACCAAGAATAGAGTGAAAGGTCTGGCTTCAGCCTCTCTGTTGTGTGGCCCCGTGTTTCTTGGAGAAACTTTTGGGAAATAAAGTGGACCTTAGTTATTTATGATATTGCAGAGACTGTAGTGCGTTCTTCTGAGCCCACAAGCAAGGCTTTCAGGATCTTTCCATATTCTTTTCTCAGTCATTTCTGTCTGTCTTAAAGTACTTTACTGTCCAGTCTTATCCTTTGGAGACTGATGCCTCTGTATCATTGTAGGAATCCTCTCAGATTCCTGCTGGCAGTCTTTTTCTGCCACTGAGGATTTTGTCTCATTTTCTCTTATATTTAATCCTTGTTTTTGGGTTAGCATGTCTTGGTTTTTGGTTCCTGGTTGCATTTGACCTTGACTGGTTACTTGTGGAGATGGTCTGCATTGGCCTCTTCAGCTGCTGTTGCGGTCTCATGCCTGTGCCCTCTGCCAGTGCTTCCCTGACCGCCACCCTGTGCTGGCTCCAGACATCCAGTTACTTCCTGGGTGCGGCTGCTCGGCTGCCTGGGGTGCCTCAGCCTGGCACATTCTGTATGGAAGCCCCCTCCTTGCTGTCCACATCTCTTGTTCCTATGTCCCTGTTCTCAGGGGTGGTATCACCAGACGCATGGAAGGGACCTAAATCTTCCTGCTGCCCTCAGCCCCTTCTTGCTCTCCGTTCCACCCCCAGCCCAGTCAGGCCCCCGTCCTCTGTGACCTTCCCACTCCCCCGCTTCTCCTGCTTCGATGCACTTCATGTTCCATCTCCCCTTTATTGTTTAGTTGTCTGGAAGTGCTCCAGGCCTCTGCTGGTTCTCACCATCTCATTCCCTGGGAGACAGCCCAGGTACCGTCTCTTCCCAGAGGTACCTGGGCCGCTGCAGGCCTCATGGCACCTGTAGCTCCTGCTGTGCGTTTTGATCTGACAGGCCAAAGTCTTGTCGTCTTGTTGTATATCCAACCCTCCTCTCCAGCCCTGGAGCTCCTCACAGCTTCTCTGCTCCCAGGCTGGCCTCGGGCTGAGCAAAATAGGTGCTCAGGAAATGGGTGTCAGGAACTAAGCAGTGTTGGCTTTAACACTAGTAATCATATCTATGGTAATTTAAATAATTCTAAGGAAAATTGCTCTTATTTTTCATGTATTTTTTTTTCAGGGTTATTTTGGAGCCGTTGGAGCACTCCTTGAGCTGTTGAAGATCCCCTGATCGTTACCTGGGGAGGGGTTCCTGGAACCTTCCACAATGGGATCTGTGGACTTTTGTTTTTTAAGAGACTCAGTTTTATAATTGTGTGCTGCCTGAATCAAAGCAAGAAAGGACAAGTGTATTTTTTTTAAGTCATCAAGATAAATCCTTAAAAATTCAATCTAAACTAGTAACCAGTAAGGAAAGATGCATATAAAAAGTGGACCACGTCCGTGGCAGTGGGGACTTGCTGTATTTCACTTGCTCTTCAGTATAGCTTTGTTAAACCTGCGTGTATTTTGAAATTCAGCATCACTCACTGGAGCCACTTGAGGGGAGAGCTGTTCTGTGTTCCGCTGACTGTAGTTTTGTGTCCTGTTGAACTTGCTAAATATAAGGCGAGCTGCTGTGTGTTACCATCTAGCCGCAGTTTCGTCCATATGGCCTTGGAGATCATCTGTGCATTAACTCTGCTGTCATTTAGCCTTTGTGTGAACCTTTGTAAAAACATGTTTTATTTCAAGGTTCTGCGAACTGAATTGTGCAGGTTAATTCTGTACCTGTAACTTTGACAATTGAGCAGCTTTTGGAAGGGCAGTTCTGGGTCACTTTACACTGTAAATCCTGGAAAGGTCTGTTTGGAAAGACAGGACTTCTCCCCAGGGCAGAATTTTCTCAGGTAGTGGGGGGATTCTTGACCTGATGGAAGTAAGCTGGTACGAAAAGCACAATCTGGAAGACTAAAACCAGACAAAAAGGGCTGCTGGAGTGGACGTCTTTTCAGGGAACGGGGAGAATCTGGTTATACTTTCAGGCCAGTAGAAAGCGAGGAGTTGAGATGGGTACTGATTAACTCGTGGGGAGCAGGGCGGGTTCTCGCGAGAGCCTTCCTCTCCCACTTCTGGTCTTCCTACCTGCCGGAAACTGCCTGGTCTGAAAAGGCTGCTTTGAGGAGAGAGGTTTATAGATGGAGTCTTGGTAGAGAGTGACTTTGAACCTCCTCTTTCTGCTGTGCAGAATAATTGATGTAAAAAAAACCTTCCCCTTGGAGATAGAGCAACGTTTGTCTTATTTTGTGTATTGTTTGGTGCCTGCCTCACTGTTGAAGGCAGTGAAGGGTTTGTATAAAGCAGCCTTTGAAATAGAAGGAAACCCTAAGGCTTCCAGCCTCCTGGCGCCGCTTGGTTTCAGGCGAAGCGCGGACACCAGACCTGCAGGGAAGGTTCCAAGGGAGGAAGGGCGCAGGAGGGGCTGGGGCACAGCGCGCCACTCCTAGGTCGGCTCGGCTCCCTCGACGCCTGCGCTGGGGGCCGCGTGGGGGCAGCAGAGGCGCGTGGCCTAGGCTGCCTTCCAGGAAGGGAGCGGCCATTTCCCGAGGGCGATCGCAGGCGCTTTTGGGCTGTGGGTCCTGCTGGCCTTGCGCAGGCCGCAGAGCTGGAGGGAGGCTGGGGGGATGGGAATCGCGGTCCTTGGGTAGTGATTGTTGTCCTTGCTGCTGTCTCTGCTGTCTCCCTTCCTGGCCCTGCCTGAGCCGCCTCCAATCCTGTCCTCTACCCTGGGCCCCTTCCAGACGCAGGCTTGGTGGTCCCACCTTTCTCCTACAGCCAGCAAAACAATGCCACCTCCCCGCTCGTGGGCTCACTGATACCATAGCCTCTGGTGCCCCAGGCCCTCCTCCCCACTTCCTCTGGGCAGTGATCCCCAGGCCTATTGAGAAGGCAGAGGAGGGAGGGAGCAGGAGCGAGCCCTCCCCATGCAGGCGCAGCCCCGTGCTATTGGTCCCCGTGCTCACCCTAAACTTGCTGTGCTCACGAGGTGTGTGCTTTACATGGGTCATTTCCTGCAGCCCTTATCATCACCACAACTTAGAGGAGGAAACCTGCCTGAGGTCACACAGCTAGAACTGGTCAGAGCCCCCTCCTGCCTTGCAATCCCTCCCACCTCTGGGGCCCCACGGCTTCCCTTCCCGCTTTGTGACCTCACTTAGGGCTCTGTGCTCAGCCCACACTATCCCTCCATGGGACAGTTCTTGATAAGGTCACCAGTGAATCTCGTTACTAAATCTAGTGGATGTTTCATGTCTCTCTCTCAGTTCTAACACAGCAGATCCCTCTTGCTTTTCCTTCTGCCTTCCAGGCCACTTCTGTCTCTACTAGCATATCCTCTGAAGACACATATTGCCAGCCCTCAGGTGCGGTCCTGGAGCTCTTTAAGCAGTCATCAGCACTCACCTTGACTGATTTCCGAGGTAGCATGCCTGGCCCAATTTCTGCCCTCTGAGCTGCAGCCCCAAGGCACTGACTGCCTTCCTCTCTCTCCACTTGGGTATCTCCAAGGCCATCTCTACACAGAAATGTCCACATCCTCTTCCTGAACCTCCGCTGGCATCTTCTCCCAGTTACCACCACTTCAGTACCTCCAGCTTGTAAGATGCATGTAAACCAATCTCCAGTCATCACTGCCACCATCCTGATGTAAGACACTGCCCTGTCTCAGCAGTTGTCCCTCTAGGTCTGCCCTCCAAGTGGTAGCCCGAGGGTGCCACCCATGCTCCCCTCTAGAGGCAGTGGGGGAGGGGTGGCTGTGATGACGGTCCAGGTGAGAATGGAGTAGCCTAAACCAAAAACGGAGCGATAGTCAGGTGGAGAGAGATGCTTGCTTAGTGGGCTCTGTTGGGATGTGGAGGTTGGATATGGGGGAAGGAGGTCCTGTGAGGGCACCTGGCTTGGCGGGGAGCCTTGGTTTTGGACTTCATGACTTGGATACCAAATAGGCAACTGGATATTTGGGCTGGAGATAACAGACTTGAGAATGATGTGCAAATAGGTGTGAATTTAGTGAATACCAAGGTAGAGTGAGAATAACAAGTGATGGTCAGAGAAGGAAAAGGCCACAAAGAAAACTGAAGCGTGGTCAGAGGAGGGACTGGTGGGGGCCTCTTGCTCAGGAGACTGAGGGGAGGGGAGCTCTCCAGGCTCCTGCATTAAGAGGTTTATGAGGTGGCCCAGATTTGGCTGTAGGCTCATGGATGGCCTTGGAGGGAGCAGTTTCCCTGAAGCCATGGGGCAGAAGCTGACCTGCAGAGGGCCTAGTGAGAGGTGGTGAGGAGAAACTGGCTGCCACAGGATGACTTGGGACCAAGAGATGTTTTTTCTCCTTCTGTCAGAATAGTTGGTATTTCCAGCCCTGGGATATCGCTAGAGGAGTAGGGTGTGGGCTGGTTCTGTCACTTTGGCTGCCCTGAGCACCAGTGTCCACATGTGGGAGACTGCTCGTCTGTGTTCAGCTCCCACCTGCAGAGCTGAGGCCAGGGTGGCTGGTAGGGCCTTGGCCTTTCTTCCTCCTCCCTTGCTGTGGCCTGGTGCTGTCCTCATAAATGCTGACCTACACCCCACCTGTGCCACTGGAAGGGACAGGCCAGAAGCTCCTTCATCACAATCAATCATCTTGACTTTTCAACTCCTGCTGCACAGCCTTAAATGGAGTGTGGGTGACTACAGGCCCTCTGAGTTAAAGGGTACATACACAACATGAAGTGTTTTCAAAATCTGCTTTTTATTTACATTTGTTTCAGTCAATTACATGCATGTTTTATTTTTTAAACAAGAGTAATTAGCAAAATGCATTAAAATTTTAAAATAGCAATTAAATATACAAAAATATAGCTTACAAAAAACTGCGAATGTTTAAAAATATTCTGCTGCAGAATTCTTAGTGTACAAACACGTCTATGAAACCTGAGGCTCAGCATTTCATAAACATTTTTTTGAGGGAGTTATACAATATCTAGTGAATAAACCCCAATGGACTAAACTACAAGACTAAAATTCCCTCCTTCCTGGCAATGATCTGTCAAGAGGCCCAGAGACAACAGTTACTGGGAACACTCTCTTGGAAGACCGGGCTGTCAGCAGGAAGGACTTCTGACACTGGACCTATCTGCCCACCAGCTCTAGCAGGGCCTGGGAGGGGAGGGACTGCGCAGATGGCCTAAGATGCAGATCTGGCAGGCTTGTACTGGCACAGGGAGCTGAGGGAGCTTCATGAAATACAGACACGTCCCTTGACACGGGAGGGACCCAGGTTCTAGGTCCATGTCCTTGGAGCAAGGAGGTTATCTTCCTGATCCCATAGCCATGGAAGTGAGCACTGGATTGGTAAACCAAGAACGCTGATGCTTGGTCTAAAAGTGGGGTAAAACTGTTTGCATCTTGCAACAATTTGGGCTCTAAAGCTGAACTGGAAAAATGACAGATTTGGTGAACAAGCCCCTCTTTCCTCCTGATATTTCCACTCATGGGAACACATTCCATGGCACGTGGGATCCTTCATTAATCTACCAAAGAACCATGACAGCATTTTCCAGTTATTAATTGCAAATGTCACCAGAATTTAGACACGTTCATTCATCTCCTTTACTCAAGAAATATAAGAGCTAATGTGAGAGACACATTAACCCAGGGCCCGAGATCAAGTGACAGAAGGGTGGAGTTTCACATATAATTCAAGTTTCAGGTCAGGGGCCCAAACCGCACATTTAATCCAGGGGAAGCCCTAGGCTTCTGCCCTGGGTGGCAGGACACCAGGGAGGTGGATGAGGACCGAGAGGTGTGAGTCCATGCCCCTCTCCCCAGGGGTGCCTGGAGGAAGCAGCTTTAACTTTCCGCTCATGCAGGGGCAAAAATGAATTTAGAAGAAAAGATTTTTTAAAAGATTACTGGTGGGGTAATTTCTGTTGGATGGAAAAAGTGTTCCAGTAGGAGAAAATTCTCTGGGAAGCATTTTCTTTTTAGTGTGTGCATAAAGAGTGGGGAGGGCAAGGGAGCAGATCCTTGAACTCTGAACATGGACATTCCGAGGAGACTGACCTCTTAGCAACGTCTGTCCCACAAAATAGAAGGATGCCTCAGCCTTCAGCTGCTGCTGCTTCTCAAACTCCTGCCTCAGAAACACAGGAGTTCACCTAAGAAACCATGACATTTGTGGCCAGACATCCCTGCAGAATGCTTGAGCCTCACTTGGAACTGGCCAAGATTGCGGGGGGTTGGGAGGCAGCTTGTCCAGGCCCCTGCAAAAGCTGCCGGATGTGGATGAAGCCTGCACTGCTGCTCCCAGCTACAGAGCCTGCTTAGAAAGCCAGCCTGGAAACTGATTGTGCTCGTGTATTACCTGGGCATCTGAGGGTCAGGAGGGATTGCAGTTTCTGATTTGTATAGAAAAGTAGACTTCCACTATACTGCAATCAGTAACAAATATGCCTTATTCAAAAGGAATGTGATTGTGAAACACCCCCAATTCTGGGCTCACCTTTTACAGATACTCTGACTTCTGGGGATGGTTCTTCCTACATGAAGAGGAATGCTCCTTGAATATACTTGTCTGGTATCACAAGTAAAAGAGGAGAAGTATACACACACACACACACATACATACATACATGCACATATACACACACACCCGTGTGTGTATCTGCTTGTATGTGCATAAATGATCTCGAAGGATACATAAGGAATGAATTTAAAGTGGGTGTTCAAGCAGGGAGAAGCTGAGCTTGCTGGAGGTCAAGGATGCAAGGGAAGACTAACTGTTTATGATTTGTGAACCATATGAAGGGATTACCTATTCAAAAAGTTAAAGGAATATTCAGCACTGAGCAACAAATTGGGGAACACTTTGGGCAAAGGTAGATGGAGATGACTAGGGAAGACCAGGAGAGGAAAAGGGAGCCAGGTGAACCTGGACCCCAGGGAGAGCCCCTGCGCCTTGGGAGGCTCATGCTGTGGTTCTGTTCTACCAGGACAACAGAGGAGCCCCGTGTGACATGATGTTACCCAGTATCAGCAGCTCTCAGGACCCCAGGCCTACTGCCTGCCATGGACATGGTGGCTAATCCTCACAAGAGCTGGCAAGGACACGGTTACTACAATCCCTGGGTGGCAGATAAGGAATCAGGCGTTGAGAGGCTAACTTGCAGAAAGGCACGTGGCTGGTGAGTGGCAAGAGGGGACTCAAATCCCTCTCAGCACTTTTTCTGTCCAGAGCTCTGGGGATGCCTCCCAGTGTGTATAATTCCCAGAAAGTCTCTCAGAAAAATAACTACTACAGTCATTCAGTATAGCTTAGCAAAGCAGGATCAGACCATGGAGATGACAGGCTTTGGAGTGGGGCTGTGGAAAGGGACAGGGCTCAAGGTCTTCCTCTGATGGATCTGAGGGGCTTGGCACTGGGGAAAATGATCTTCGTTTGTCAAGACTTGTCAAGAGCAGACTATTTGGCAATGGTGGGAGGTCCTGTATCCCTTAGGCCAGACTTTCCCAGGGGCCACCTGCTCCCATCTGGCCATTTCTGATTTGTCCTGCTCTCTGCCTAGGTGAGCACTGGCTACAAGGACTTTACCTGCCAGAGGTGGGCCTAACCAAATAACACTGGCAAAAAAAAGTGGCAGATGACAACTATTAATGTCTTATGCCTGTTCAACCAGAAATCAAGTCAGGCTGGTTTTGTTCCGTTTCTAAAGCCAGGTGAATTCAGCTGTACCCTTGGCAACAACTGGATAATGATTCAGCCACCTGTGGAGTCCAGTTGGGGCTGAGTTCTGCTCTACTAACCCACAGCACACAAATAACACCTAATCTTTGAGCTGCTTAAGAAACATTAAGACAAAGTAAAAAAAATCACCATGCCACCAGCCACTGGCCCAAGAGCAGACCCGAGTCCTCACGTGTCTACAGATTAACAAAAGGTCACCAACAACTCATGGAGACAGATGCAGACAGGGCGGCCTCAGTGGTCTCACTGTGAGGCCTGAGCCAAGAGTATTAAGGGATCCTTACCTCTTTTTTTCAAAAAAATTCGTGATGGAGATTTTAACCTTGTCCTTCACACAAAACTGATTTTCATCAGAATTAAAGGAAGATGTAAATTAAACTCTGACCAACTGCAGTTACAGCGGTGCAGCACAGGGAAGTTCTGAAGGAGGACCCAGATGTGGGATGCAAACACATTCAGGTTGTTGCTAAGAGTCACAGGAACTACTGCTGAGTGACACTGGCCATGCTGCAGTAGGACACCAAGTCAAGAAACAGGAGATGACTATGAGCAGAGCCACCAGTCACCACCCCAGTGTCCAGCCTGACCTTAGCAGAAGAGCTGCATTTTAAAAAGCCTCCCAAATTCACAAGTGTTGGGGTCATGTTAGTGGTACCTCGTGAGGCAAAGCAGACCTACAATGGTGCACAGCATTCTCGAGCTTTCTTGTAATGGCCAGCACTATTTGGGCTCTGCACCTCTGGTCCAGTGCTTGCCTTTAGCTGTGACACAGTGAAATGAATTAATTTGCCTCCCTACAAATACAGGGACTTTCTGAGTCTTTCTCCTTGGTACTGGTGCACAGGGACAGAAAAAGGCTGCAACTGAAAGGCTAAAATCCTACAAGAGCTGTGAGTCAAAATAATTTGCAGTATAGAGCACAAGAATTCCTCCTTTGAGGGGAAAAATTCTCTTTCCTATTGGAACCCCATAACAACAAGGTGACCTTTGTCTCAAGGCCATGCCATGGAAAGTGCTGAGTGTTGGCCATTAATGAGGATAGTCAGAAGCAAGCCTACTTCTGACACTGGTTACTGAAAACATTTCACTGTAAACCGAGTGTTCTGCAGCATTCCACTCTATTGTGCTACAAGTAGAGAAGGCAGAATCAGAGGGTGAAAGGTTGAGTGTACAAATGGTTCTTTCCACGGCGCCAAGCAGGCTAAGGCTTTCATAGAAAAATATTCCACACTTCCCTTGCCCTGTTTAAGAAGCAGTCCAGTTGGCATACCACGAATAGGTCACACATGGGAAACAGCCAATTCTGACCAACTAGATCTGTAATTTTCCAAAGTGGATTCTGCCCAGCACTTTTCTAGACTAATGGGAATTTTCCGCCTCTTCTGACACCAGCCACCTGAGTCAAGGACAGGTTCCCTTTCCCATTCTAAGACGGCTGAGGCTAGATTCCAGAAAAAATTCCTGGAGACATACCATGAACAGAGTAGCAAAGCTTCCGCCACCCTCCCTCCATACCATGCAGACCGTATTTCCAATGAAAAACTGCCCCACTCATACCTGTGGGATGGAGCAGAGGCAAAGCTGTCAATGAAGAGTCTACTCCTATCATGGAAGGAGGTGGAGAGCAGGGCTGTGGAAAAGAACTCTATCTGACCCAATGCTGCTTCATACAGCTAATTTATACAATATTCATGAATCCTAATGGACTCTGAGTCATTTCTAGAAAAGTTGGACAGGAAGAGCCAAAGAGCAGCATGCATTTCTCTCCTCTAGACACCTTCAATTAGTTATCACAAGTCTGAATACTGAGGCACACACCAATGGGTGAACAGCCCTGCAGGAGCCTCCTGAAACTATTTACAATTTCAAGTGGATCCCTGGCTTCAGAATTACATAGGGATCTTATCTGGGATGCTTTAAATTTTTAAAAGTCATTTTCTCTTAAGTAGAAACAGAGATAGGGCAAGAGAGGGAAGAGAACAGAGAGAAGGAATAAGGGGAGAGGCAAGGGGGTCAGCATCCTCCTCTTATCTCAGCAGGCCAGGAGGAGTGGCCATTCTCAGAAAGATGCTCCTCTTCAGAGCCTCTGAGGGGCTCACAGAGGCTCCCACAAAAGCAGTGGGGCAAGACCAGCGGCTACACTGGAACCACACTGTGTATGTGAAGATCTGGGAAGCATCCTGACGCCCCCTGGGTCACACAGGGACAGCATGGGCTCAGAGGCCCTCCCCCTGCTGGGGCTCCTGATAGGTGGCTTGGCTGTGCCTCTCTGGTGAGTAGGAGGGGGAAATAAGAGGAAATGGCTTCTGACCAGGCCTTTCCAAGTGTACCTAATGTTTTCAGCTTAGGTAAATTGTTAAGCAAGTGTTGTGAACTTGAGGGAGAGGGAGTGACGAGGGGCACTGCTGCTCTGTTGTAACTAAAGCCCTTGGGTTCCAAGGTGGCCTTATCAAAGGAACATAAAGTGAAAAGCTTTGTTGGCACTGCCTCACCAACCACTGGCAACGGTCATGCTTCGGCTGAGGTAACTGCTGGTTGTACTTGGCTCAGGGGCTGTCAGGAGGGTTTGCACTGCAAAGGCATGCAGGGTCTGCAGAGAAGCTCATCTGTCCAGAGGGTGGGGGGTGGCTTTAAAGACCTGCCATCAGTTCCCTTCTCTAACACTTGTGTTTATCTTCCCTTCTGCTTGATAAAGATTCACCTTGAAATGGAGATAAGTGTCTGGGAGACAGAGTGCAATGGAGTTAGCAAGAGACCCTCATGAAGTTTCTTGAGCCAAACCTGTAGGCTCATCCACTCCTCTTCTCTTGGCATGGGGTAGTGTCAGCGTGCTTTGGTTATCACAAGACCCAGAAGTCTGGATTCCCAGTTTAGCTGGCCCAAGAGTTCTTCATGAGGCAAAGGAAGTGGCAGCTGGTGCCCCAGGTAGAGCAGCCAACACAGAGACCGCTTGTGTTCCTCCTGGCTCCACATGGACATTGGATCCCCCAACAGTTTGATCCTTGTGGTAAGCTATACAATGTTTTCTGCCCCGGGTAGGGGCCCCTGTGGGGGTCCACGGTCCTGCTTACTATGCAACTGGGCGAGCTGTAGAACTGGCATGTTGCACAGTGGACACACTTTCCGAACCTCCAGCCACTTAATAAGGCACCTGCAGAATGAAACACCACAGGAGGGAAGATGTCAGTCCCATGCTCATGGTACTCCCTGCCCACTTGCCTCACATGTTGAACACATTTGTTGCCCAGAGCCAGGGGCTGGTGTCAACAGCCAGGTCTTGAGGAGCTCCACCACTAGGTAGAGAACACATTTTTCCCTCTGGAGGAACCAGGGCCTCCAAGCTTCCAAACGGTGATACTAAGAAGCTACAGTCGGCATGCTATACTACACTCAGTCATCTATGACTTCTTAAAGAATGAAGTACACTGAGGAGGGTGGTGGGAAGTAGGGGAAATAAAATTTTCTAATAGAAATACAAAACACAAAATTGCAAGAGAAGCGAGGAGGAGATGGCCCCACACTACCATTTACATTCAGACTTTTATTTTGATTTAAAATAACTAAGGTTTTGATTAAAATAAGTTCTTAGGAATGGAAGCTGTCATTGGAAAGTTCTAGTTAAATAGCTGTTTATAGCCTGGGCTCCAAGGAGGTATGGGTTCATCTGGCTCTCTGCTCGAAGAAGTACTGCCGTGGTGGTCATGTTCCTGACATCACGTACACGCACGCACGCACGCGCGCGCACACACACACACACACACACACACCATGTAGTGTGCTGTCAGCTTTCTGCATTATAGACCAGTCAGGAAGCCATGAAGCTTGTCTGGCACTGGCCCAAGCCCACAAGTAAGTTGGTCGATGTGCCTCAAACTCAGGTCCCCTTAAATAATTCCACACCAATACTCACTTTCTGTGGAAGGCATGCTTACATGGACAAATCCCCAACTCATCTCGAGGCTTGAAGTCTTCTAGACACACTGCACAGAGCTGAAAGACAAATTCACAGTTGAGGCAAACTGTCTACTCTTCATGGGCCACAAAGTAAAGTGCAGGCCCCTGAGGCCCAGCTATCTGAAGGGACTTGCAATGTCCCACAACTCGTTAAGTGAAAGAAATAGGCTCAAATAGGGTGAGGTCTTCCGAAGTCTCCTACTCTTCCTGTCGTACGTTTTCAAGATGGAGAGCAGACAGAAGAAAGAAAGAGGCAGTTTCCTTTACTTCAGTGTCAGAGAGTCTGACTTAGGTTTATTCTCACTACATAGGCTGAACCTAATGTAATTTTCCTGTGGTGTGTTGAGGGGCTGACTTTCTGCTCAGCACCACAGCTCCTGAAGGGGACTGCTCATGTGCTGGGGTGGGCCCTGGGGCTCTCCATTCTCCAGTTTTCACAACAAGCAAACTATAAACCACAGCACAGTCTGCAGTAACATGCTTTTTACATGGAGCCCCTCACTTTGGCACTGTCCTTCTGTCAGTGCTTGTCTTTGTCACATAAAAAGTTATTCAAGGGTCACTGAATTTAAACTTATGTACAGATAGGGCGAGGAGTGCTCTCTGACAGGTAGTTGGCTCCACTGCTTGTGGAGCCTTCTCCTCCACACCCAGATGCTAAGTTCCAACAACTACTTCTTGGGCACTTACCAGTGCCCAGAGACACCAAGTATCATTGCATTTACCCACTTTACAGATGAGAAAACAGAAGCTCAGAGCAGTAACCATGTTGCTGGAGGCTAAGCAGTTGCTGAGTAGCCAGGCCTGGCTGGGGACCCAGGTCTGTTGCACCAATGTACTGCTGTACCACTCTGTCTCTTGCCCAAAGCCTGAACTCCTCCTTGCTTGCTTCCCTGTCCATTTCTAGAGATCCTGTTTCAACCATCACGTTTCTTGCCCACACTGCTGACATGGCCTTCCTGGCACCTGTTTCTTAACCTATAACATGTAATTCAGTCTTCTTAGGTTGTGTGACAAGGACAAGTGGCTCTTGGTGCCCCGTGGCCAGTTCTGTGGATGTTGGTCTTCCAACACCCTTCTCCAGGGAGCTCTCAGGGCCTTGTGTATACAGCAGATGGGATCTTCACAGGAGGAGGAGAATGGATAACTGTCTTGTCAGATTCAGCATTACTGCCAAGACAGCAGGAGAGTAGGGAGGAAGGCAGGACAGGCGGCTGGCCTTGGCTCAGACACCTACTAGCTGTGTGACCTCTGCTATCATGATGCCTCTTAAGCTCTATTCTTTCATCTGTAAAATGAGAACACTACCTGCCCTGCCTCCCTCACAGGACTGTCATCAGCTCAGGCTGGGGGGCACGGCTGAGGAGGCAGTAAGGCAATCAGTCTACGAGTACCAGTTGCTTTTATTCATGTTTAAATGTTGTGATGGGAACACAATTTTCAAGCCTGGTTTTGTTTTCTGCAAGTAGGCTGAGAACAAGCTGGGAGTAAAGATGAGAAACTAGCAGTTCCAGCCTTGGGGAGATCTTTTGGGCCTCAGCTTCTATAAAGGGGGAATGATGTTTCCACCTCTTAGACTGTGTGAACGGGCCCTCTGGCCTTGTAACACCCAGCTTCTCTCCCAGCATAGCCTTCTCCTGAGACAGGGTCAGGGCTGCTGGCTCTGCCCTCTGGAGATTCAGTGTTGATCCTACCAAATGGCAAGAAGTTGGACAAATCTCTCATTTTTATTTGTTTAGTTTTCCAGGCAAAATTAGATTTATAGCCTTTTGAAAATGGAGTTACCATTAATGGTTATAGTGTGCTATTATGTTCTTCTTAAATTCTAAAATCATAGTCACCTGAAAAAAAAAATAAGACAAATTCTGACATTTTAATTGCTAAAGGCAACCAAAAGCCAAGGGCAATCACGAAGAGAAAAGCCTCAGCTCTGACTTCTTAGAAGTTCCCTGAAGGGTCAAACTAATTTTACAACTTTACAGATCAGATTTTGCAAATAAGCTTTACTTTCCAGTATTTCAACAACAGATTATTTCTCCAGTGTGACTTCCCCTCCCTTTTTAAAAATGGAGATAAAATTTACATACCATAATATTCACCTCTTTAAATTATACGATTCAGCAGTTTTTAGTATATTCAAAGAGTTGTGCAACCATCGCCACTATCTAATTCCAGAACATTTTCATCACCTGCTCTCAAAAGCTCACACCCATAAGCAGTCACTCCCCATCCCACCTTCTCCCCAGTCCCTGGCAACCACTAATCAACTTTCTGTCTTGATGGATTTCTTTCTTCTGGTCATTTCCAGAATAGAATGGAATCATGAAATGGCATCATACAATACGTGGTCTTTTCTGTCTGTCTTCTTTTACATAGAATGATGCCTTCAAGGTTTATCCATGTTGTAACACAAATCAAAACTTCCTTCATTTTTATGGCTAAATAGTATGCCATTACTTGGATATCCCATATTTGTTTATCCATTCATCTGTTGATGGCCAATTGGGTTGTTTCGACCTTTTGGCTATTGTGAATCATGTTGCTCTAAACACTGGTGTACAAGCATCTGTTTGAATTTTCAATTGTTTGGGGTATAAACCTAGGAGTAGAATTGCTGGGTCATATGGTAACTCTATGTTTAACTTTTCGAGGAACTACTAAACTGTTTTCCAAAGTGGCTGCTCCACTTCACATTTCCACCGGTGTGTACAAGGGTTCCAATTTCTCCATATCTGATCATTATTATTGTCTGTCTTTTTCGGTTATAGACATCCTAGATGGTGTAAAGTGGTATCTTCTTGTGGTTTTGATGTGCATTGCTCTAATGACTAATGATGTTGTGCTTATTTGCCACTTGTTTATCTTCTTTGGAGAAATGTCTATTCAAATCCTTTGCCCATTTTTCAGTTGGGTTATTTTTGTTTATATTATTGAGTTGTAAGTGTTCTTTATATATTCTAGACACAAATCCCTTATCAGACAGCCAACTGATTTTGACAAAGGTGCAAAAGCATTTCAATGGAGGAAGGACAGCCTTTCAACAAATGATATTGGAGCAATTGGACATCCATAGGCACCAAAAGCATGATATGACCCCTAAAGCTAAGTGACCAAAGAAAAAAAATTGATAAATCGGACTTCATCCAATTAAAAAAATTTATTTTGAAAAAGTCTCTGTTGGGTTGAAAGGACTGGGATAAAATATTTGTAGATCTTTTTATTTTGTAGGCATTTTATTACTGAGTTGTGCGAGTTCATATATTCTGGATACTATACTCTTATCAGAGATAAGATTTGCAAATATTTTCTCCCTCAGGGTTGTCTTTTTACTTTCTTGATAATGTTCTTTGAAGCATAAAAGTTTTTAACTTTGATGAAGTTCACCTTATCTATTTTTTTCTTTGGTTGCTTGTGCTCTAGTTGTCTATCTAAGAAACCACTGTCTAATCAAAAGCCATGAAGATTTATATCTAGGTTTACTTCTAAGAGTTTTGTAATTTTAGTCATTACATTTAGGTCTTTGATCCATTTTAAAATTAATTTTTGTAAACAGTGTGAAGCAGGGCTCCAACTTCATTCTTTCGCATGTGGATATCTAGTTATCCCAGCACCATTTGTTGAACAGACTATTCTTTTCTCATTGACTTGTCTTGGCACCTTTGTTGAAAATCAGTTGACCATAAATGTATAGATTTATTTCTGAACTCTCAATTCTATTCCATTGATCTGTATGTCTATCCATCTGCCAGTATCACACTGTCTTAAATACTGTAGCTTTGTGGTAAGTTCTGAAATTAAGAGGTGTGAAGTCCCCCAACTCTCTTCTTTTTCAACATTGTTTTTGGCTTTTCTGGGTCCCTTGCATTTCCATGTGAATTTTAGGATCTGCTTGTCAATTTCTTTTTTTTTTTTAAAAAAAAAGGCAGCTGAGATTTTGATAGGGATTGTGTTGATTCTGTAAATATTTTGGGGAATACTTCCATTTTAACAATAGTAAGTCTTTCAAACCGAGAACATGGGATGTCTTTTCATTTATCTAGGTCTTTAATATCTTTCAATGATGTTTTGTAGTTTTCAGGATACAAGTTTGAGCTTCTTTTGTCAAATTTATTCCTAGGTATCTTATTCTTTTTGATGCTATTGTAAATGGAATTGTTTTCTTAATTTCATTTTTGGATTGTTCATTGCCAGTGCATAGAAATACAGCTGATTTTTGTATATTGATCTTGTATCCTGGAAATGTGTTGAACTCATATATTAGCTCTCATGAGTTTTGGTGGATTCTTTAGGGTTTTCTGTATTTACAAAATCACGTCATCTGCAAATATAGTTTTACTTTTTCCTTTCTAATCTGGATGCCTTTTATTACTTTTTCTTGTCTAACTGCTCTGGCTAGACCCTCAAGTACAATATTGAATAAAGTGATAAGAGTCCCATCCTTGTCTTGTTCCTGATCTTAGGGGGAAGAGCTTTTAGTCTTTCACCATTAAGTATGATGTTAGCTGTGGGTTTTTCATAGATGCCCAAATTGTCAAGTTGAGGAAGTTCCCTTCTATTCCTAGTTTGCTGAGTGTTTTTATCATAAAAGAATGTTGAATTCTGTCAAATGCTTTTTCTCCATCTGTTGAGGTGGTCATGTGTCCCCCCTTTATTCTCTCAACAGGGTGTATTACATTGACTGATTTTCCTTTGTTGAACCAATCTTGCATTCCTGGGATAAATTCCATTAGCGTATGGTATATAATCTTTTTTATAAACTGCTGGATTTGGTTTGCTTGTATTTTGTTGAGGATTTTTATACCTATATTCATAAGGGATATTGGTTTGGAGTTTTCTTTTTTTGCGACGTCTTTGCTCTAGATATTAGGGTAATACCAGCCTCATAGAGCGAGATACGAAGTGTTCCCCATCACTCTTCATTTTTTGAAGTCAAAGAATGGATCCTGTGATAACGTCAGCCCTGTCAGAAGCTGGGTTAGGAACATATATTTACTGACTAGTCAGTCCATAGATATTTGAGTTTGTTTTACACATTAAAAGTTGGAAAGGTCCTTAATTGATGGCATCTGCAGAGAGTAGCAGGAAGCTGGGTCAAGTTGCTCCAAAGTAATTTTTTGTAGCTTGGGGAACAGAAGCTTCAAGTCTTTGGGAGTAGTAGGGGCATCACAATATGATGGCTCTAGACTCAAACAGATAGGGTGACATTCTTTCCCCACACTCAGAAGCTGGATGATGTGTCCATTCTACTCAATTTCCTAAACTCAATTTCCACAAATGCAAAATAAAGAATTATACTTACCTTCTCTAAATTTTTTGAAGTTTAGTTCCCCTGCTCCTAAGACAATTATATGAAGAAACAGACATCTTGGTAATATTGACACCTTGTATACATGATTCCATATACTTTACACTGAGATTATACCCATAAATAAAACAAATTCAAGGGAAAAAAATGACTTTACAGTGACTACAAATGTACACTGGAAAGAGGCCTAATTTTCTAGTATTCACAGACTGTGTGCATGACCTCTAAAATGTCCAAGAAGTAAGGATTTGATAAATTTACCTCAAATGCAAACTAGGGAATAGAGAATCATGTAGGGAAGACGTCACACAAGAAAAATGACCCACAGCTCAGGTGATTTACTCAAAATGGTTTTCTTTTAAATAGATAATCATTCTATGATGGTGGTAGTGGGCACTCATTATTATGCCTTTCCTTGAATGGTTATGAGGATATCACATCATCTCCAAAGGCAAAAGATACCCTTTGAGAGCTATGAGAACAACCTAAGGATGGGTGTGCTACTCAGGGAAGATCCAACTTTTTTAATAGCTTTTTTTAAAAAAAAAATGATTGGCACCTGAGCTAACATCTGTTGCCAATCTTTTTTTTTTTCCTTCTTCTCCCAAAAGCCCCCCAGTACATAATTGTATATTCTAGTTGTAGATCCTTCTGGTTGTGCTGTGTGGGATGCCACCTTAGCATGGCTTGATGAGCGGTGCCTTGTCTGTGCCCAGGATCCAAACCGGCAAAACCCTGGGCCACTGAAGCGGAGCACATGAACTTAACCACTTAGCCACAGGGCTGGCCCAAGATCCAACTTTTTTGTTCCAAAGAAGTACAGTGGGCCATGAATATATGGCCCTCATGTGTTCATGTGCTTGGCCCATTACTGTACTGCCTCACTGACTTGGGACCTTCTCTCCCATGGGACCAGTATTCCTTGAGGGAAGGGAGGGACTATACTCTGCCCACTCAATCTCTAGGGTCCTATATATTGTCAGCTTCCTACATAGGATTTGTTTTTAACTATTTTAACAATTTAAAACTGGGACAAACCTCAATTGGGCTCCAAAAATTTGCATACTAATTTAAAAATAGAATCCAGGGGGGCCGGCCCCATGGCTGAGTGGTTAAGTTCGCACGTTCCACTTCAGTGGCCTGGGGTTTCACTGGTTCGGATCCTGGGCGCAGACATGGCACCACTCATCAAGCCATGCTGAGATGGTGTTCCGCATGCCACAACTAGAAGGACCTAGAACTACTGTGTACAAGTATGTACTGAGGAGCTTTGGGGAGAAGAAGAAGGAAAAAAAAAGATTGGCAACAGATGTTAGCTCAGGTGCCAATCTTAAAACAAAAAAAATAAAATAAAAATAAAATCCAGGAATGTGATTTATAAGAAGACTGATCAATAATCCTAGCAAGACTGAGTGGGTTTAAATCTCCTCCTACGTAAGTAAGGGATGTGGCAAAACTGCACCACCAGAGCTACCTCCTCACTGGAGCAAAGGGAAGGGGATGAACCTGTGGGGAGGTGAGGAGAAGGAAAAGATGTCCTTAACTCCACTTTACACAGGGGGCAACTCTGATGGGGTTACCTTTCTGCAGTCTCTTCCTGTGGAAAGTAGGGCAGAACAGGGCCACAGCATGTCTGCCACATGAGTCCTTATCCACTCCCTGCCTCACCCAGGAAAACTGACCGTAAGATGGCTCTTCCTGGTCCTTGTGCAGCTAGGATCCCAGATGCTCTTGAGATATAGAGGGGAGCCGGTTCTCCTTTCCTTTCTGTACATACAGTCAATACCACCCGAGGAAAGAGGGAATGGACCCAAACTTGTTCAAATTCAAAAGGTATGTGAATGGCTGTACCACTGTACTGTGGATGTGGGCTCAGGGTTCTGCAAGGCTATGCATGCTCTGACTGGCCCATATGGCCACGGCAGGTGGATGAAGCCTTCTCTGGTGGGGTGGCAGGATAGAAAGAGTGCAATGTAGGAAAAAAATTTCAGGAAATAATGGCTGAAAATGTCCCAAGCTTGGTGAAAGACAAACCTACATATTTATGAAGCTTAGGAAATCTCAAGCATGATAAATCAAAAGAAATGCACACCATATCATAATCAAACTGCTGAAAACTAAAGACAAAGAAAAAAGTCTTGAAAGCAGCCAGAGAAAAATGATGCATTACTGATAGGGGATTGATCAATGATTCAAATGACTGTGAATATCTCATCAGAAACCATGGAGGCCAGAAGGAGATGGCACGTTTTTAAAGTGCTGAAAGAAAAGAACTGTCAACCCAGAGTTATGAAGTGAAATAAAGACATTCTTGGATAAAGGCAAAGTAACAGAATTTATAGACAGCAGATTTGCTCTGAAAGAGTAACTAAAAGAAATTCATCAGAAAGAAGAAAAATAACATATAAGAAGGAAACTTGGAATAGTGGGAATGAAGAGCAACAGAAATGGTAAATATCTGGATAAATATAACAGACTATTCTTCCTCTCTTAAATTCTTTAAAATATACTTGATAGTTAAAAGTAAAAAACATAACATTGTCTGATGGGATTTTCCATGTATACAGGTGTAATATGACAGCTATTGCATAAAAGGGGAAAAGGTATAGGGATCTACATGGCAGTAGGGTTTCTACATTCCAATTGAAGTGCTAAAAAATTCATTCTGAGTATTTATTTTGTAATCCTTAAGGAACCACTAAAAAATTCTACAAAAGATAAAGTCAAAATCACAATAGATAAAATGGAATAAGAAAAATGTTCAAATAACCCAAAAGAAGGCAGGAAAAGGGAAATAGAAGAAAGAAAAAGAGAGGGAAAAGCAGAAGACAACAAAATGGTAGACCTAATTCCAAACATATCAATAATTGCATTGAATGTAAATGGTCTAAACACATCAGTTAAAAGACAGATTGGCAGAGTGGATTTAAAAAAATGACCCAGCTATGTACTGTCTATAAGAATACTCATTTCAAATATAATTATATAGATAGACTGAAAATAAAAATATGGAAAAAGACATACCATGCAAACATTAATCAAAAGAAAGCTAGAGTGGCTATATTAATATCAAAGATTTCAAAGCAAAGAAAATTACCAGGGAAGAAGAGGGATATTACATCTTGATAAAAGGATCAAGAAGACTGGCAATGTAGCTTCACCACAGTTAGACTATATAAAACACAGATATTACAATGTGCAACTTTCCAACTTTTCCTGGCTTTAACACCAATTCAGAAACTCAGACAGGGAAGACGAGAAAGGGCCCTAAAGTTAAAAATAAAAATTCTGAATATTTGTAGTCAGAGGCAACACAAGGAATAAAATGAAAAAAATTCTTACAGACTTAAGGTGTCTGAAGGTGCCCAGCAAGATATACACACTTTTGTATTTAAGTTACAAAGCATAATAGCATAGTGAACACCTGTGCCACTTGTGAACCAATCATGCAAACTCGTCACTAGACAATCCTGAGGATTCGTCTCTCTCCTTCTATGTTCTTCCCTATTCCATTCCTTTGCCTCGCCTCCCCAAACTCCCACCCTCATGAAGTAATCACTGTCTTTTTTGTGCAGGTGGTAAGAAGGGGCTGCTGGGAACATTTTCAAGAGTGAAATTAATGCAAATTCATCTTGAGTAGAAAAACTGTATCTATCTCCTATACATATAGCATGGACAGCAAGCAGCATCTCTGCTATGAAATCTTACATTGGCGCCATCTCTTAAAAATATGAGTTAAGTTACTCTCTTAAAGTCTTCATATAACTGATTTTTATGTGACCTCACTCTCAAATATTCTATTAAGCTGATCGAAATGAGCCTAATTTCTTTCGCCTTCTGAAAATAAAGATGTTTAAGCATACCACGGCATACTACTTCTATTAGAAAATAGCTCAAGAAAATATTAAAATATTTATAGGCTACTTACCTCATGTAAATTCAGTTCTTTTACTTTCTCTTTTAATATAACCTGTAAGACAAAAAAGTATGTTCTTATACCCATTTAAATCTGTAGTTTAAAATATTTCTCATTATACTCACAAATATTTTTCTTTTGTATATATAGCTCATTTCCCCCATATGCAATATTGGAGAGAACCTCTTTCACAGTTTGAGACAGAACCTTTTAGCAACATTCCTTTAACTTGAGCAATGATACAATACTCTCCTGGAAAGCAATTTTAAAATCTGTTTGAGAATATATTAACTTTTGGGAAAAGACATTAACACATGCCCATCTGGACTAAGGGCTAATATGGGGGAAAATAAATGAGGCCGATTGTCTCATGATTCAGTAAAACACAGCACTGGCTGATGGGACTGACTTATTAGTAATTCATAAAAGATTAAAAAGTAAGATCAATCATAATTTTGGAAGTTTTGCCTATTATTATAAATCACTATCCTCAGAAACTTTAGCTCTGCCCAGAATTATGTAAATGGGCTTAAAATTCATCCAGGTGCTATCCCTAATTTGACTTTGTGGTGACTGAAGATCAGTTAAAAGGAATGCCAAGTGATAAAAGGGCAGATTACTATTTAAAAAGAAAATTTCTGAGAGTAAAGTTAATTTATTAGAATTATATTTCATCTTAAAGTGAAAACACAGGCAAGTGAAATTTGGGGAAAATCTCTCAATTTTGAGTATCTTACATTTCTGAACCAAACATGGTTTTGAGGGCAAATCTCGTTTTCAGAAATCACAACCAGAAGCAACCATCCACCTAGGCAGGGATATACTAAATTTCCAATTCAGTATACTTTAAAGACCATTTTTACTGTCTTGTGGCTTTATCAGTTCTATCAGTCAATTTCAACTTTTAAATGACCCCCAAGGCCAATTTTACTTCCTAGTTAGCTTACATACAAATATCTTGTAGGTAGTCAAGATTATGATAGAATTGAGACAAACTAAAACATTCAAGTTGTGTGTGAATCCCACATGAGACCTATGGGGAAGAGCGTGGGGTTACCTAGGGACATCAGTGTGGACATCTAAGAAATTCGCCAATGAGCTCAGATTTCAAAGAGACGTGGACAAAAAGATATGGAATCCTAAAATGGTGACATGATTCTGTAACATCAGGTCAGTAAGGTTAAAGACCCAAATAAGCTGAAGTTAGCCCCCAAAAAAGCTAACGACAACAAAAATAATTTTATGCTTAGGGCCAAAAAGAAAATTAAGGAACACCTAGGCCCATTGTTTGGTGTCAGTGGTAAAATGTTAATGGATGGCACATGGAAGAACAAAATAAATTTTACTTGACCTTCAAGAAAAGCTAAGTTTATTATCTTAAAGAACAAATCAGTAAAGGGATAGGACAAAGGGTTAGGGGTTAATAGCGATGATCCAAGTATCTGGACTTCTAGTGATGTGACATGAACTAACATTTAAAGTACAATGGGGAAGAAATGAGGTCACTCTAACATAGCTGGTCATCTCTGACGTGTCTTCTAATGCAGAAGGAGGAAAAAAATTCATTTAATGGAATTTCTGAACTCTAATTAGGATAACAGTAAATTTAAGGATTATAAGCTATACGATTTTCTTTTGCAAAATGTTGGCTAAAGTTCTGTTAAATTATATTATTATATTATCTGAACTTTCTATAATTTCAAAAATACTTAGGAAAGAAAAGAAGAATATTTGAAGTTGATCTATTTTGTACTGTAAACTGGCAAGTAAAATGCTAAAATGAACACAAGTAAATCCAGTCCCAGTTTAAAATGTAAGTGGAAATCTGAGTTCTCATTTTTTCGTTAAAAAACACAATCAAAGCCAATCTTAAGGAAATTTCTCACCTGTTTGTAGGCATAAAATTCTTTGTGTGCTTGATGCCTTAGCCTAAAAGACAGAAATGAGCATTGAGATACCAATATAACAATTTGAAAAAAATTTAAAAACTAATTTTTCGTATTAATTTATATAATTTATGGTTTAAAATCAATCTCTATCCTGGAATAACCCAAATGATATATCTGTTATGCTATGAGAAAGTGACTAGTGAACCATAAAATGTCAGCCAAATTAAGTTCAAGTGAAATCTCATTAAAACAAAATCTCAATACAACAAATATTTCAATGAAGGCTCAATTCTCTTTATAATGATAGTCCATTTATTTCAATATTTAATACATCACATTTTTTATTAAAAAATTTAAGTAACATAGATCTAATGTTAAGACTACAGCTAAATATTAAACATATATATATACACACACACACCCCAGTGTAACTATCACCCAGATCAAGATGTAGAATGCCTCCAGCACCTCTGAAATGACTCCTCCTAATCAATATCCACCCCTAGAGGTACCCAATTATCCTGATTTCTATCATTGCAGATTAACTATTGCTTGAACGTCACATAAATGGATCATTTGGTATATACTCTTTTGTGTTGGATTCTTCCAGTCAGCAATGACTTGTGAAACTCATTCATGTTGTTGCAATATTTCTGTCCTTTTTGACTGACAGAGTGTTCCATTGTATGAATATTAAACAATTTACCCATCTCCTGTTGATGAATATTTAGATTACGTCCAGTTTTTGGGCTATTATGAATAAAGCTGCTATACAAATTCTTCTACATATCTTTTAGTGGACATATAGACTCATTTCTGTTGAGTATACACCTAGGAGTAGAATTGTTGGTCCAAAGTCCTTGTACCAATTTCTACTCCTATAGGTAATGCATGAGAGTTCTAGTTGTTACACATCTTTGCCACTGCTTGGTAGGGTCAGCGTAAAAAATTTTAGTCAATCTGGTAGGTGTTCAGTGTTATCTCATTTCAGTTTTCATTTCATTTCCCAAATGGCGCTTAAGAACCCTTTCTTATGCTTATTGCCCATTTCAATATCTTCTTTTATGAAATGCCTGTTCAAGACTTTTCCCATTTAAAAAAAATGAGTTGTCTACCTTTTTCTTACTGATGCGTAGGAATTCTTCATGCATTTTAGATGCAAGTCAGCTGTTAGGTCTATGTACTGCAATTATCTTTTCCTCCTCTATGGCCTGCCTTTTCATTGGCTTAATGGTATCTTTTGATGAACAGAAGCTTTTAATTTAAGTCCAATTTATCAACTCTTTCCAATAAGGGTGGTTCCTTTTGTGTCTAGTTAAACAAATCTTTGCCTACCCCTAGATCATGAAGATATTCTCTTCTGTGTATTGTGAAAACTATTTGTTATCTTACCTATCACATTTGGGTCTATGATCCATCTGAAATTAGTCTTTATGTATGATGTGAGGTAGGGGTCAAGATTCTTTCTATCCACATGCAGATTTTCATTTGACTCATTTATGAAAAGACCCTCATTTTCCACACCTTGCAGTGGCACATCTGTCTTAAGTCAGACCTAATATGTGGGTCTGTTTCTAGAGTTCCTATTCTGTTCCACTGGTCTATCTGTCTATTCTTGTGTACTGAGTTGAATGGTATCCCCTCAAAATTTCATGTCCAACTGGAACCTCAGAATGTAACCTTATTTGGAAATAGAATCTTTGCAGATTATTAATTAGTTAGAATGAGGTCATATTGGGATTAGAGTAGATCCTAAATCCAGTATGACTGGTGTCCTTAGAAGAGAGGACACACAGAGACACAGGGAAGAAGGCCAGGTGAAGACAGAGACAGAGACAGAAACTGAAGCGATGCAGCTACAAGCCAAAGAATATCAAGGATTGCTGGTAACCACCAGCAACTAGAAGAGGCAAGGAAGGATCTTTCCCTAGAGCCTTCAGAGGAGCACAGCCCTGCCGACACCTTGATTTTTGGACTTCTGGCCTCCAGAACTGTGAGATTAACTTTCTGTTGTTTTAAGTCACCCACTTTGTGTTTCTTTGTTATAGCAGCCCTGGGAAACTAATGTACAGTGTCAATATCATGCTAGTTTTTTAAAGAAAACCTTTATTTTGTAATTTCAGACTTACAGAAGAGGTGCAAAAAATAGCAGAGGTCACATATACCTTTCTCCCAGGTTTTCCATTGTTCACATCTTACACAGCCATAGTACAATAATCAAAACCAGGAAAATAACACTGATATGATATTGATATTAATATTGATATATAATAACTAAACAGACTTTATTTGAATTTAACCAGTTTTTTCACTAATAACCTTTTCTCGTTCTACGGTACAATCCAAAATCCCACCTTGCATCTCATAAGGTCTCCTTAGCTGTCTCCAATATGTGACAGTTCCTTTTTTTTTCCCTTGTCTTTCAAGATTTTGACACATTAACCATGATCACTTGGTTATGGCAGTGTCTACTGGGTCTCTCCACTGTAAAGTTACAATTTTCCGCTTTGTAACTGATCAATATCTTGGGGGAGATATGTTGAAATTACGCAAATATTCTATTTTTCCTCAAGCTTTTGCCCACTGATTTTAGCACCCATTTTGCTTGCAACAATTATGTTAGTGTTTGCCTGGTGGTGGTTCTGTAGTCTCCTAATCCCTTGTCCATTTATTAATTGGAATTCTTCCGTAAGGAAGAGATGTCCCTTCTCCCTCATTTATTTATATCAGTATGGACTCATGGATATTTGCTTTAGTCTATGGGTTACAACATGATCAGTATGTATTTTCTTGCTCAAATTGATTTAGGCTTGACCTTTAGGAGTTCTACCAGGTTGACTCCTGTGTCCTTTTAACCTGCCCTCATCCTTTTCCATGCATTTCCTTGCTTACTGGGACCAAAAGATGTTCCAGGCTCATTTTGTATTTTCATGCCCTAGCTGTACAATTAACCACTTCTTCCAAAGAATCTTAGTCCCCTTTATTGGAGAGCAGTATTTAAGAAACCAAGATCTGGCTGCTAGGTGAATAGCACTCTGTTTTAAGTACTGGAGCTTTGTAAAAGTCTTGGGGTCTGGTAATGTAAGTCCTCAAGCTTTCTTCTTCTTCTTTTTTTTTGGGGGGGGGGGGAAGATTAGCCCTTAGCTAACATCTCCTGCCAATCCTCCTCTTTTTGCTGAGGAAGACTGGCCCTGCAGTAACATCAGTGCCCATCTTCCTCTACTTTATATGTGGGACGCCTGCCACAGCATGGCTTGCCAAGCGGTGCCATGTCTGCACATGGGATCCAAACCGGCGAACCCCAGGCAGCCAAAGTGGAACGTGCAAACTTAACCGCTATGCCACCAGGCTGACCCCTCAAGCTTTATTCTTTACTACTGTCTTGGCTATTCTTGGTCCTCTGCATTTCCATATAAATTTCATAAGCTTATCAATTTTGACAAATAAATCTGTTGGGATTTTGACTGAGAGTGTATGGAATTTTAGGTCAACTGGGAAAGAACTGACATCTTTGCAAGATTGAGTTTCCAACCTATGAACATAATATATTCCTCTATTTATTAGATCTTCCTTAATTTCTCTCTACACATTTGTAGGTAGGACGCTTATAAATCTTTGATTAGATTTATTCCTAGGTATTTGGTAATTTTTGATATACTATAAATGGTATTTACATTTTTTTCTTCTTCTAATCCTTTGTTGCTACTACATAGGAAAAAAAGAATTTTTATATACTGATCCTGTATCTAGTGACTTGCTAAGTTCACTTATTAACTCTGTATAGTTTATCTGTAGAACCTTTTGGGTTTTTTAATATACACAATCATTCTGTCAGCAAATAATGACAGTTTAAACTCTGCCTTTATAATCTTTACATATTTTCTTTATTCTTTATATCACCTCTTTTCTTTCATCCCTTTTTTTTCCCTGCACTTGCTAGGACCTCTGGTACAATGTTAAATAAAAGTGGTGACAGTGAATGTCCCTACCTATATGTCACTATTAAGTATGATGTTTTCTCTTTTTTTTGGGGGGGGGGGCGGTGAGGAAGATTGTCCCTGAGCTAACATCTGTGCCAATCTTCCTCTATATTCTATGTGGGATGCCACCACAGCATGGCTTGATGAGCAGTGTGTAGGTCTGCACCTGGGATCTGAACTGGCAAATCTCAGGCCACAGAAGTGCAGCGTGCAAACTTAACCACTATGCCACCAGGCAAGCCCCTCTCTAGATTTTTTGTAGATACTCTTGATTCAAATAAACAAAGTTCCCTTGTATTCTAGGTTTTTGATTTTTAAAAAATCATGAATAGATATTTTTATCAAACAATTGTTCCCATCACGTTTTTTTTTCCTTTTTACTGTTATAATGTCGTATGGATTGATTTTCAAATGTTAAAACAACCTTCATTCCTGGAATAAACCCCACTTGGTTGTTATTTACTACCCTTTTTGCACATCCCTGAATTTGTTTTATTAATACTTTGTTCATATGAGAGATTAGTTTATAATTTCCCTTCTTGTAATGTCCCTGTCAGGCTTTGGAATCAAAATTATGCTGGCCTCATTATATGAATTGAAAAGTATTTCTTCTACTTCTACTCTCTGGAAGAGTCATATAAGAGTGGTATTTTTTCCTTAAATGCTTGGAGGAATTCCCTGGTGAAGTTACCAGGTTTGCAATTTCTTTGTAGGAATGGTTTAATAACACATTCAATTTCCTATTAGATATATAATTATTATTTTCTATTTCTTCTTGGGTCAGTTTTTAATGAAATTTTTATTATTCATTTGTATTCACATAACATCCAATTAACCATCTTAAAGTGTATAACAGTGATATTTAGTTGTGCAATGTTATGCAACCACCAATTCTCTCTAGTTTCAAAATTTTTTCATCACCCTCCAAAAAACATCTGGTAATCATTAAGTAGTCACTCTCCATTCACCTCCCTTCCCCCATCCCCTGGTAACCTCTAATCTGCTGTCTCTATGGATTTTCCTCTTATGGATATATTATATAAAAGAAATCATACAACAT